CAGTGGTTATCAGTGAGGAGGGAGGTGGGTAATACAGGGGTGGGGGAGTAAGAGATACAAACTCACGTATAAGCTGCAAGGAGATACTGTTCAACACGGGGAAGATAGCCAATACTTTATAATAACTATAAATGGAGTCTAACCTTTAAAAATTGTGAATCTCTACATTGCACACCTGTAACTTATGTAATATTGTACAGCAGCTGTACTTCAATTCACCAATCAATACAACGAACCAACAGGAAGGCCCAGCGCCCTCTCCACTTTCTCATATCAGACCTCTGTCAGGACCCAGACATTTGCTCATTTCAGTGAGCACTGAGTGAGTGCCTACTCTGTCCTCAGAACTGTTCCAGGGGTTGCAGGGTGCTAAGGAGCTTGACATCTAATTGAACTGAAAGACAGAGTGAGACAGTGAACAAACCTCAGGGTAACCGAGCCTGGAAGAGGAGAGAAAAGAGTGCAGCCTGGATGCGCCAAGAAGTCCCTGCTCTCCAGGAAAACGCGCCGTCTCCTGGAGAGAGCTGATGGCTGGCACAGCTTGGCGAAGAGGCAGGTTCAGGAGAGGGAAGGGACCAGGTGCACTCTGCGTGGGTGAAGTTCCTGTCACTTGAGCCCCAAGGCAGCCATGGACTTGGCTGTCTTCCTTGTGCTCTGTCCCAAATCCGTTTACTGGCTACCTGTGGAGGTGTGTTCTATGAGTTTGGTGTGTATTAAGCTGTTTAATTCTCATGCTCTTATAAAATACTATGATTATCTCCACTTCATTTTTGTGGGGTTGGGGGGGAAGTAATTAGGTTTCCTTCTTTCTTTTTTTATTTATTTAATGGTGGTACTGGGGACTGAACCCAGCACCCTGTGCACGCTAAGCACACACTTTACCACTGAGGTCTACCCTCCTCCTCCGATTATCTCCACTCTACATATGAAAATGGAAATACAGACGAAGCAGCATGCCCCAGGTCACATGGCCTTTCAGAAATTAACCTGGGATCACAACCCAAGGCACTCAGCCTTGACAACCGGGGCTGGTGACAGTGACAGTGAACCCTAGGCTGTGGCTGCCTCTCACTGCAGTGGCTCTGAGCTGGCGGGCTGGGCCCAGCTCCATTCGGAGTAGTAATAAGCCACTTTACTAAGAAAGAAACCTGTGCAGAGGGAGGCTGGGTGTCCACGTGCTGGGAAGAGAAGAGGATTTAGGTCAGAAGACCAGGTACTGAATGGAACTGCTATGCTAGCTGGTTCTGTGCCAGTCAGCCCCCGGGGATCCCAGCCTCATCGCAGCTAATGTAAGGCTAACACTACCGACCTCACAAACCTTACGAGTACCAGACAGACTGCACAGCAGTGTCCGAAACAGTGGCTGGCACCAAGCAAATACTCTGTAAGTAGAGGGCAAGTGGAGTATCAGCAAGAGATGCTTCAGAGATACAGGTCTGACTGCCCTTGACAAGAGTGTACAGCTCATGAACAAAGACAAAACGTTAATCAAATGACAAGGATGTTCAGTAAACGGACCTAGGGCCGGGGATGGGCAGCTTTCAGGTACCAAGGTCCCCAGGAGCCATCACTGTACCATTAATAACCATGAGTCAGGGCATTTTGTTATGTACTTTAGGTTTCATCATTACTTGCATTTTCCAGATGCTTAACCAGGTCTGTTCTGAGACGTGGTGGTTTAACACAGCCTCTGTGTGCATGTCCGCAAAACCTAGCAATGGGCTTCAGGCAAAGATAAGGCCAGCTCGGAATGCATGGTTCTCTCCCTCCTTCTCTGACTTAGCAGCCTGGATTGTCCTCCTCAATAAAACATTAGCACCATAGTTCCTGCCGCCAGCTCTGCTATTGAGGAAACCTGGGCTAAAACAGACAGGAAAAAATTTTTTTTTGGTAAAAGAAAATACACTGCAGTAGGTATGCACAGGAAAAAAATCTGAATTTACACACGCAAAACATTAACCAGATTGTCTCCCTTCATACTTATCGGTATTTTCAATTTTAAACATTTTAAATCCGTAAAATGGTGATTTCAATTAACTATCTATACATGCACATTTCTTTCTTCCAAAATTAACAGCCATGATAGATGGAAATAAGCTGAAAAGCCACAGTGAGAATAAAGACAAGTATTTTCCATAGATACTCCGTTAGTGTGAATCCAGGAGTAGCTCTGGAGATTTTCATAACTTACTATTTTATACTCTCATCATTTCAGTTTTATTTTATTTAGGGTTAAAGAAATAAGAAGTGTTGACATTCATTTGTTGAACAAGGGCCACGTGGAATATACACAAGATACAGTAAGCATGTTGGCTATAATAGATAGGTTTCAATAATCCTATAACTTCTTTAGGTTTTAAAGAGAGTCACATTGCTTACCATGCCCTGGAATTTCAGAAACTTGTCTGACAATGCTGTGCTCTGAGACTTACTCAGAAGTGAAATCCACTTAGAGCCTCGGAAAGTCCCTTTTGGCAAAATCGGATGTGGGGCCTCAGCGTAAACCCTAAAACCCGCAGTGTTGCCTGTGGTGTTGGTTCCCCGGGGGCCAACCTTACTGCAAAATAAAAGCTGCTTGGATTTTGCCCGCTTTCACCTGAAAAGGTCAAGTGTGACTTTCGCTTCTCTATGGTGGTCTCACGTGCATGAGGATCCAACTGGCAGGGCGGGAAGAGGCTGTGGGAAGTCACCCCCACAAATGCCCAAGTCACAGACAGGACGTGACCCAGGGGCGGCAACCATCCCCTAGGTGAACCTGCTCTGACTGGATAACCCTGGTCTGTAGGTGGCACCATCTACATTTCAAAGAGTGAGAGGAAGCTTTCGGATGCTCACACAGCTCATCCACTTGATATAAGAGAACCTCGCTAGAGAAGAACTGAACTATTTTGGGGAAGGGATTATATCCATTCTGCCAATGTCTTCCGGAATGATATTTTAACTCTGGCTTCTCCTAGTTGTGTTGGGGAGGAGGGAAAGCAGGGTTAATGCCTAATTATGTAGTTATTTCTATTATGTGGTTACATAGTCATTTCTTTACCTATGTTCCCTCCAGCCCTAATCCTTAGAAACAGGAAAACAGGAGACCATAACCTAGCCATAGTTACTCCATCTCTCTGTAGGGGTTTCTTACGGTTCCAGCTGGGGCTGCTGACTCAGACTCACTGGGTTTGAGTTCTGGGTCTGCCTAAGTAGATACTTGAACTTGGACAAGTGACTTGATCTTGCATTAGTCATTTGACCTCTCTGCCTTCCATTTCCTCATCTGTAAAATGGAAATAATTTTAATATGCACCCTCATGTAAAGTGCCTAGTGTCATGCCTTTCACTTAGTAAACATCTGATAAATATTGGCTATTAGTAAGTGTTCAAAAAGTATTACTGGAGAAAATGTATTAAGGGGAAAGAGATAATGGTCACAAAGAAAGCTGTGATTCTTCCTCAAACCATCCCAGCTCTGGCTAGTCCCCACATTTCAAGAGCTCTAGCACAATTTTTTGTGCTCACACAAAGAAAGAGGGAAACAGACCACAGCTGACTTTTTTTTAAGCAGCTGAACCCTATTGCCACATGAAATGTACATATATAAGGCACAGTCTGCTCCAAAAACCAAGGGTGCAAACTTAGCCATGTTACTCCTCCCCTCTGTCCTCTGATTAATAGCTAGAATGCTCAAGTATTCCATAAAAAAAGTCCAAAGTGTCCACTTTTGTCCGACAATGTCAGGGGCTTACTCAGATAAAAGGGGTCATATGGTTCTCAAATGCCAAATGGAGCAGAAATGGTTTGGCATCATTTCACACCTCCTGCTGCTCCTCCTTAGGGGCCAGCCCCTCGGGGGATGGACCTACAGCTTCCCGGGGTGGCATCCAGCCAGAGCCCCACTCCAGCTCCTGGCTTGGGTGACGATAGCTCTGAAACCATGGTCACAGGACCAGTATCACCATCCAGGACACACTCGCCGGGCTGGGGCTGTGGCATGGGCTGCCGCGGGCAGAAGCCACAGGCTTCCGGGCCGAGCCAGCCCTCGCACTGCCCGTAAACTCTTTTCTCAGATCCTGAGTCATCGACCTTGCTATCTCTTCTCCCCTTCACCCGCGACTTATTTTTAGGAATTTTCATCTACGCAGATGTGTCTGCCTGCGCCTCAGTGGGATGCGTTTGCCAGGACAAGCGTACAAAGTGCCCAATGGGTGGGCTTAAACAATGGAAATTTATTTGCCACAATTCTAGGGGCGGCAAGTCTGAGGTCAAGGTGTCGGCAGTGGGTTGCTTCCGAGGCCTCTCTCCTTGGCCTGCAGATGCCGTCTTCTCCCTGTGTCCTCATGTGGTCCTGTCTCCAAACAGGGTGACACGCTGAGTTACTTGGAGTCAGGACTTCAACATTGGAAATTTAAGGGGGGGGCACAGTTCAGCCCATGACACAAACAACGGACTGTCTATACTTAGGGAATAAGTTAACTTTTTAATGAGAGATGGGGAAAGACAGAGAGAGAGAGAGGTGTGTATCCAGGGAGTCCCCTTCAGACAATTTTCCAGGACTGTGTTTACCTGACTACACAGCCACTCAAGCCACTCACCGTACTAAACCCAGATGCTCTCTGTAAAACAGACGACCCCAGAGCTTCTCTGGGAGAAAATGGAAGAGGGGTCCAGACCCTGTCCACCTCTCCTCAGGGAATGCCTTTCTCAAGCACCATGCAAAACCTCTGGCCTGGAGGGTTCCAGGGGTCTGGCTCCTTCTGCTGCTTCACAATGACACAATTCACCGCAGTCTGAATCGGTGTGTATCACCACCTGCCGACCCTCAGCTTTGGGAATATAACTCCGAGACTAGCATTCAGCCCAGCTTGGCTCCGGGGTCCAGAGGAGCCGAGACCGGCAGATACCCGGGCTTTATTTTTCCCCTTGGTTTCTTTTGGGAGAAGGGCTTGTTAATCTCCCTGCTCAGCTGTGACACCCCAGAAAAGCTGAGCGGGGCATCAGACACGGCCTCCCCGTGACCTGTTAGCACTCACCAGGCCAATAAAGTGCGGGCAGAATGACAGTGACAGCTGCCCAGTGGTGTTCAGAGGGACCTGAGCAGTTCAGTTCCCTGGCCTCAGGGACAAGGGTATCATTACGGCCCCGCTGCTCGGAGAGAAGCTGCTTCAACCCAGCCTGGGGAACGGCCAGGCTGTAGCCACGGCAGGGAGCCCCATCCCCACCTTCAGGGCAGAGGAGAGAAGAGGAAAGGCAGGTAAATGGGAGCCAGGCAGTCCGGTGGCCGTTGCAAGGACAAGGGGACTGGGCTCCTGCGGGGGAGGCAGAAGTCCTTCCCGTGGGAAGATGCCCTGCTCCCGGGGAGGGACCCGCGGTGTCTGCTGAAGCAGGGCCTGCGGCATGTCAGTTTCAGCTTGGTCACCAAGGGCATGACGGACGCGCCCGACTTCCTGTGGGGCCTCTCGGAAGTGCAGAAGCTCAACCTGTCCCACAACCAGCTCCGGGCCCTGCCGCCCGAGGTGGGGAAGCTGACACGGCTGGTGGTCCTGAACTTGTGCGGGAACCGCCTGAAGAGCCTGCCTCGGGAGGTCAGCCTCCTGCAGAACCTCAAGGTCCTGTTCGTCCACATGAACTGCCTGACGGAGCTACCGGCTGAGCTGAGTGCCTGCAAGAACCTGGAGGTCCTGAGCCTGTCGCACAACTGCCTGTCCCAGCTCCCCGCCAGCTTCGCCGACCTCTCCAGACTGCGGAAGCTGAACCTCAGCCACAATCGCTTCGTCCACATCCCCGTCTGCGTCTTCTCGCTCCGAGAGCTGGATTTCCTGCACGTGGGCTCCAACCGCCTGGAGAACATCGCCGAGAGCATCCAGTGCCTGGCCAGCCTGCAGATCTTCATCGCCGAGAGCAACAGCATCCGCGCCTTCCCGCGCTCCCTCTGCCTGCTCACGAGCCTGGAGCTGCTGAACGTGAGCAACAACCACATCCAGACCCTCCCAGACGAGCTCTACCTGCTGTGCAGACTGACTCGGATCGCCTGGAACCCCATGGACAAAGGGCTCCACATTTCCCGTAACCCTTTAGCCAAGCCTCTCCCGGAGCTGGTGGAGGGGGGTCTGGAGATGCTCTTCAGCTACCTAAAGGACAAAAAACACCCCTGACGTGGGAGCCAGGGGCACCGCCAGGCCCTGCCAGCTGTGCACCTCCCTCGTCTAACCGTCCTCTTCCTGCTCTGGTGGTCAGTGCTTGTGTTGCGACTTGCTGCATCGTACTGAACGCCCGCCCCAGGGAGGAGCTTGCTTGCAGCTCTGTATCTTCCTAATCACCTGTAATATTACGTTCCTCTCCTTCTAAACATAAACTGAAAGAGAACCTGTGTTTTCTCCAAAGAGAAATAATTCTGATTCTCTGAGAACCATGGGACTCAGGCTTCGGAAGAGGGTACAGTAGGTCTGATTCAATATCCCTCCAAAGTGAAATATTTGCTCAGGATGTGCCGTGTGGGCCAAAGCGCGAGAGGAGGCATCGACACCGTCCAGTTTCAGCCCCTGAATCGGCGACCTGCAGCAAGGCAGCCACAGCAAGACATGCCCCCACGTCAGCCTCCATGAAGCGTCACTGGGACCAAAGAGCCAGCTGGGGCCCTGCTGTCCTGGCGACGACCAAATCAAGTAGACCTTCCCCGCGAGTTCTGCGGGAAACAATCACAAGAACTTTGTCTCTAAAATGACGGTAGAGTCACAATCGAGTCGCTCGTGTGGACGTCTGGTGGTGAGTGACGGGGATAGAGTGTGACGGCTTTCAGGAAATAAACACAAGCCAGTGTTAACTGCCCAGTCCTCCTCTTGCACCTCCAGTCACATCCCTGAGCTTTTCTAGAGACACCTGCCGGTGGCTACATTCTCCTAATTTCACTCCTCCTCCTCCCTTACTAGACCTGCCGTCTCAGTGATGAGCTAGTAATCAGGGAAGAAATGGCCAAGAGGCAGGAAAGAGGAGAGAAGGTGTGGACTAGCCAGACAAAATAGCCAGGACCCTTGCACATTCAGAGGAGGGTAGTATTTGCCACTTGGCTGTCACATATGGATTTTTAAAAATGAGTCTGGTCACATTAAAAGCTCTTTGCACAAAAGGCTCTACAAAAATACTGTTTGTTTTGTTTTTAATTCTAAGAGGACACAGCTGTTAGTTCAACACAGACAGCAGGGCAGGCAATTATGCAGCTCCTGCCACGAGAGTTGTTGGACCTCACTGCTGTCACAGCAGCCAAGAGCCCTGAGACACTGCTATTCAGAGTCAAAGAATTAGAATGAAAAGGTGGCAGTGACAGGGCAGTCCCTTCAGGTCAGTGGAGAGCCTACCACTCAGCACGTTTGTCTATAGGACGCAGCGAACAATAGCAAGACAGGGCTCGGACCTGTTGCCAGGACTTGTCTAGCTTCTTACTACCCCTGGTTTAATTCAGTTAAATTCATATTTATTAGCATCTTCTCTAAGGCTGGGCACTGGGCAAGGATGGCAAGGGAATAGCACCCAGCTCCTTCTACCAAGGGGCTCCCAGTTTGGTGAAAGAGACAGACTCACGTGGGTTTCCACAATATATGGCAAGTCGTGACCCCTGCAAAGAGACATTAAAGCAAAGGATCGAAGTAAAGATAACGGATAACGTATCGGATAGCATAGAGTAGACTGAGCCTCGAGTTTCAGAAGCCAAAAACACGATCGGGATGAATCAGTCAAACCCAGTTCACTGACACCATCTCGTCTTCATTCCCCCCGCCTTCCTTCACCTCACAGGAAAGAGCCGCAAAGCCTGGGGCGGTGGGTAGCCCATTCTCACGTTCCCACGTAGGCAGTTTAGATGTGGAGCTGCCCTCTTACTTCCCGAAGAGCTGCTCAATGGGGAGTCCATGTAACTTACTCCTCGGACAAGTGTTTTTCCAACAGACCCCAACATCAATTTCCCTCCATCAAAGAGGGCAGCCAGTGCCTGCCATTATCACCAGACACCACGGTTCCATCAGCACGTTGGTGTGGAACCCATTGCAAACAGATCTCACCAGTGTCACTGGGAGGCAGCTGAAGAAATCCCCTCTACACGCCCCCGCCAGCTGCAACTGGAGACCTGCTCGTCCCCGCCAGGCACACACAGGCACTTAGTAACCTCACCCATGCTAGCCTGAGGAGCCAAGGCTATTTAAAGACATGAGTGGAATTCTTACTCAACCTCATGACTCAGTGGGAAATTGCAGGGGGAGCCTTCCTCTGCAGAGTAGGGCTGAGCAGATCACTTACTGAGGCTGGAGCTGGGGCACACGCAGCTGCCAGACAACACCGTGTGTGCCAGGATCGCCTCGCTGGCGTCCGCTGCCGGAGACCCACTTGGGCTCATGCTGAGTTTCCATGACCTTGCTCTGGGCAGAGAGGCGCTGGGACACCAGCACTGCGCTTTTCCTGCTGAGCAATCATTTTATTTCCTCTCCTCGCTTTTTCAGTCACTTGATATCCCATGGTAACTCTACTCTAGGGAAAGAACGTAACCCTATTTTGAAGGTGACCCAAGAGCATATTATACTTCTTCTAAGAAAAAAGTGGTATCAAGTCAGTTGCCAGCTTCCATCGGTGTCTTTCAGAAGCACAGACACGAGGTTTCCCTTGTTAACACTCAGCACTGAGGAAATCATAAAAGTTGCCCGGTGGGCTTTAGATATTGATTTTCTGTGAATGCTCCTTTTTATTGATAAAGGGAAGTGCTGAGCAAAAACCTGGTTAATGTGCTTGGTTATTCAAAATACTAATGCAGGGGTGGTTGGGGGAGGAGTGGAATTTGATACAAACTTCAGCATCTGCTGTCAGATCTTCCAGTTTGCTGACTGGCTGCGACATGCTTCCTGCTTATCTTTTGTAGTTCTAATGCTGCCACGTTCAAATAGCTCCCAGGTATCTCTAAGGCTTATGAAATCAAAGCACTGAGGACGGCTGCACTGGCGGCAAGCACGCTTAGCCAAAGAATAGGAGCTAATTGGGTGCCTGATGTGGGTGGGGGCGCTGGCTGTTCACGTCCCTGATGGTAGGGTGATTTTCACGCCACTTGGGGCTCTCAGTGACAAGCAATCTCAGGGGTGTGTTCAGAGACACCTTTTGAAGCAGCTTACAAGCATACAATTAAGAAGAAAATCTGTTCCTAGGAAAGGAAGACGACTTTGAAAAGACGCAGCTGTTCAAGGAATAATGCTGCTAAATGCTTAAAACCGCTGCATATTAGAAATAAGAGTGCAGTCATTACTTACTTGTTGACTTAATAAGTGGTTAATAGAAGAAACGGCTCCATGCTCAGGCTGAGGCTGAGGCACTGCCTCTCTGCAGTCGCCAGAGTCAGGATGTGCACCCGGGCTTCACGAGGTGGCATGCCTGCAAGATCAAGAGGGAAAGCTGTCATTATTTGTAGGCATACCTGAACCCTTTCTTGTGATAATGGATTACTGCATTTTCAAATTCCATTTCCTCTGCCTCAAAGCACATCCTGAATATGCATTTTGAGGGCTATGCATTGAAAACAGAGGTAGAGGAAAGAAAGCACTGTGGGCTTAGAGGCTGGGAGACAATGCAGGTATCAACAGCCTGAGAGTGACTGGGTGAGCGAGGCGTGAGGCCTGGGCTGGGCGCTTCTCTTCAGCAATATACGCCGTCGGCAAGGGAGAGTCTGGACAGAGTCACTGAGACTCTGTTACAAAGGATAAAAACAGAAAACGAGTTTCAAAAAAAAAGCAAAAATTCGAGCTGTTAGATTTGGCTAATAGGAAGATATGACCCCATGATTTCAACACCTACTCAAGTTCCCTCACGGGCTCCGTCTTCTAGTCCCATGGAAGAGTTACCTTCAACCGTGTGTGAGAGTGAGCACAAAATCCCCGGCCTGGATCCTATGTGTAACTAAGTACCAGTACATGGGGTGTAATTATAATGAATCCAAGAGCAACGAAAATACACCTTTTTGATACATTTTAAGAAAATGAAACAAAATTCAGAGGGACATGAAAGCTATTATAAACGATAATGGAATAATCTTGACCTTGTTGAGAAAAGAACTTTTTACGAGTGCTCCTTTCAAGTTACCTATCAAGTTATGGGTTGAATCCAAAGCATTACTGATTTTTTTTTAAAAAAGAACAGTATAATAATAAAAGGGGAGCAGAGAGGGCTCATAATGACTTTGTAAGCACCATCATTAGGAAGGCATAACTGAAAGCTATTAGCGTGAAACTTGCTATGCAGATTTTTTTAGTAGTGTCATAGGAATCTGTTTGCAAAGAGAGTTTATCTCCTGCTGTTTAGACTTACTCCTTATTTCAGCACAGGACAGAAAATGAGAGTGAGCACGAGTCCACCCACAGAGTGTCAGAGTCTCTCCTGACACTCTGCAGAGAGGTGTGCATTATGAAAACTCACAGGACTCCTGGCTTCCACAGTACGAGCTGGAGCCGCCCACAGAACATCACAGAATCCCCCATAGTCTTCGGTCTTGAGTGACTTGAGTTCCCCAGAAGAGCCAGGATGTGTGGCTCACGAGAAGCCTGTCTCCTCCAGTCTCCTGAATGTCACATCCATCATCCTCTGCGTGTGTGTGGGAAAAGGGCCCATGGGGTGGGGAGAAAGCTCCGGACTGAGGCTGGATGTGTCAATTACAGGGCGCTTATGGACCATCTGCACATCCCAAGACTACGCAGGTGTTGGGGATACGGTGAGGGCAGAAAGTCCCCAGGTCCTTGGGCAAAGAAGATAAGACTCGGCTAAACACGACGTGGTTCCGTGCGCACAACGGCATTAGCAGATGCACACACGAGCATGAAGGTGTGTGGGTGAGACTGTGGAGGGACAGAGTGTGATGTGAGCTAGAGGGTGTGGGATACACACATCTAACATGACGGTTCTTGAGCCAAGGACTCCTTTGTTTTGCTTTGTCTTGATGGAAACTAGAATCTCATTGCCTAGAGCAGTCTGCTTTATAACACCTTTGTGGCATTTTTTCTTACCCGAATCTCAGCTGTTGGAAGGCACACGGCAGGAGAGAGGCCACATCGGACAGTGGTGGCACAATGCGTCTTAGGCCCCAGAGGCGGCTCTGGAGCCAGCCTCCTCGTGGCTGAAGGTCTTTCCTGAGACTCCTGAAAGGACCGAGGTTGGCGGTGGTCCTCAGCGCTGGCTGGTCATCAGAATCCCCAGAGAAACTTCAACAAGGGGGAGCCCTGGGCTCTGTTTGAGTGCTTCTGTTATAGTTGACCTCAGGGAGGCTCCGCCTTCTTGTTTGTTTTAAAGCTCAGTAGGTAATTGTCGCTGACTCTATGCTGAGATGCAGACAAAGGCACCGACCCTCCCTCCACTCAGTCCAAACTCTGAGTGTGATGTAGAGTCGGTCCCCTGCACCCAGGCTGCCTCCGTATCAGTGGTTTCAGATCTGCGGATTCCACCAACTATGCACTGTGCAGTACTGTGGTATTTACTACTGAAAAAATCTGCATCTACAGGGACCCATACAGCTCAAACCCCTGTTGTTCAGGGTCTCTTGAGATTCAGGAGGTCCAGGGCAGGGCCTGGCATGTGCAGGTGTAAGAAGCATTTCAGATGTTTCCTATCGTAAGGCAGACTGGAGCCCCCGGGGCTGGCAGAAGGCGTGCCCGCTGATCCCGACTGTGACGCCACCGGGCTGCGTGCTCCTGGCTGGCTGGGATCCTTGCATCCAGCACAGGGAAGATAATAACAATGTATCAAATGAATGGACGAGAAAGCGAATAAACCTGCACAGGTGACTTCACCTCTCCAGGCCTCAATTTTCTATAAAGTGAGGTTATTGACTCACTTTCAAGTAAACTCACTTTAAGCTTTTATCAGCTGGAAATTCAGACTGTACTGGGGTGAGGGAGCTTTGCCATCCCCTGGCCTGAAGCTCCGTGAATGGCCACTTGAGCCTATAATCACGGTGATTACTCAAGAAAAGCAAAAACGCTGAGGAGATGGGTCAAGATCGGTATGAGTGTTTTCACATCTCCTTGTGGTGCCATAAAAAAGTGTAACTTAATTTTGGTTGACTTTCAAAAATATGAAAAGAGCTCAGCCTT